TGGGGAAATTGGAACATCTTATGTTTCAAATAAATCATACATTTAAAAACTTAACTGTCATTTTCTTTTCCCTACTGTCTATTTCTGTGTGTGGCATATAGAAGACCGTGGTGAAGAAAACAGAAGATTTTTGAATTTGTTCTATCTTGTGCATGCTCAGGCTAACTTCCATAAGGAGGTCCTATATTTGACCATGAATACTCTCTCTACATAAATACTCAGAAATCCTTGCATTTAGAGAATACCTCACTGAACTGACAATTAGAAGAGTGCTACTTCTCCACGCTCAAAGAGTAGCATCCATGGGACTTTTTATCACCTAAGTAACCTAAGAATTCAAAAGCTGCATAGAATTTTAGAAGTAACTGCTTACACCTTTATTAATATAAAAATTATAGGCAAACCCAAGAATATATTGAGATTTCTCTAGAAAACAAGTTGTGTCTCTCCCGATTGTGGTAAACCTAACACCAAACTAAAGGAACATTAGTGTTCAAGAATCTGGGACTGGCCAACCTGTGTGGATCTTTGAAGAGAAAATTCTGTTACATAGTTAGAGTGGAAATCCACTTGATAGTGTGTATTGGTTCACTGTGCTTAGACACTTTGTGTAGACATAGCCTAAAATGTTTTGTGGAGATTTGTAGTATGATGTTTTGGAACGTGCAGATAAATCACATTTTTCAACACCTTCTTGGCATAGGATTACAATGAACATTACATTTGGTTCACATTTTGCAGATCAAAAACCAAAGGAATTAAGTGTGTTTGTGTATATATATCCATACATACATATGTATTTCTGTATATATACACACGTGCACACATACATGTATTTCCATCTTTAAGACAAATAATATGAAAAGTCTATAAATAAAGGAAGGTATATATTGTCTTAATACAATCAAATCATCTTTTATTCTTTCCCAGGGATTGGAGTGAAATGTTGCAAGTAAGGGAAAATATAAAATGAAGGAAAGTAGCTATTCTGCTGCCAGAACACACAAATAATTTGTACTTCCTCCTAAAGCTTTTTCCCCCGTCTTAAAGAGTGGGACTTGAAGGAAACTGGAAGCAAGGATAGTTCAAGCAGCCCGTGAGAGAGTGGGGTTTATCTTCACTCAGGTAAATCGATTCCAAGACGCTCCAGGACTATTTCAGTTTGACTAGCATCTGCCACCACCACTCTTACTATTAAAATAGAAAATGATAGTACCTAATGAGCTGAAATAATCCTGGAGCCCTCCTGGATCCATTTTCTTCTCCTTGAGTTTGATCATTTCTCCCTTCCCACTGGACTTCTCAGAGGCTGACTTTCTTTTCCTAAGCCCTTGACTTAACTCGCCTCTGGAGCTGATGAAGGAAAGGAACACTAGAAGATATGGAAATTACCTGCAGAAGTAGGGTGTAAATTGTGGGAAATTCTCAAGTCTGGCAAGAGGGGCTCAGTAAGAGATGTAATAGGACTGAGAAAGAGTGAAAACTGTGGAGAAAATATAAATCGTGATAAGAAGGTTTTATTACATTTTACTAGCAAAAAGACTTACCCTCATTTTTGGAGGGTCAGAAATTAAATGCCTTTAATGGACTGTCCAAATGTAATTTCATCAGTAGTGGGACTTTTTTTCTCCAGAGTTTAGTATTTGCATATTTATGCACAAAGTTCTTGCTTGTATCCTGGATTCATTTTCTTCCTTTCAATTTAAGAATTCACCCATAACTAACTTATAAAGATTAAAAGTTGTCAGATATCAGAGTACAAAGTTACACTTTAATTAGCTTTTTCTTTTCCTTCTTGCACTCTTTTTCACATACATGCTTTGGAAAGCTTAATCCATTTATTTAGCAAAAAACTGGTGATTCCAAGTTGAGACTATTAGATTATATGGGGGAAAAGAAAAATAAAGGGAAAAATAAAAATTTTAATATAAGTAATGAATATCTTAAATATTTTACTAAATAGATGTTAAGTTTCATTCCCTTAGAGAAAGAAATTTGGCGTTGTTAAGTTTCTTTGAATTTCTTGAACTATCTAAGTCTCCACAGCAGTTATTTTTAGAAACTTTACAGAAGAAAATTTAAAACTTTTTAATTTGGATTTTGAATCTCATTACACACATGCACTGACATCATTACGGCTGTAAATTTTTAAGGACTCATGTTATTTCATTATTCTTGACAATTGTGAGATTATCTCATCCTCAGAAATTTGGAACATAAAAACCTGATTCATTCTTTAGGTGCAGTAGATAAATTATATCATCTTGGGACCAATAAAAAGCAAACTGACGAATTCGTCATTCAATTATTAATAGATAAAAATAACATTTGAAACCAAATTGGCAGGGGTGTTTTTTGCTAAATACATTTGTCATCAGGAATAAAGTATGATATCAAATTTTAAAGTGGGATATTAACTTGAAAAAGCCTATACTATTATTATTGGTGTTAATGTTTAAGTGATGGTATAGACAGTCATCTTGCCCCACAAAAAAAGAGCATTCGCAAAATGAATAGGCTAAAAACACTGAGACTGGCCACTTCTAATTCTCTCTAGAACAGGGATGATAAAATAAGTATGTCAGATAATTTGCTCTGTACCTCTTTCTAAACTAGAAGATTGACCAGGGCTTCTAGCTTTTTTTTTCTTAAATCTTTTGGTAGTAGTGATTTCCTCAGTCTCTCTTGACTTTGATTTATAGGATGCTTTTTATTTCCACTAGAAGTCAAGCGCAACAACACACCATTATAGTTATCTTCACTGTTGTTTCTAAACACACACCCCACACCACAATAGCGCTAATAAACGAATGATGTTACAAGTTTATGCCTTGTGATAAATACTCTGTACCTTATGAAGCTATAGAACATCTATTGTTAATACTTTTTTGGATAATTCCTTTTCATGCCCTTCTGACCCCTCAACTTTACCGTCTTCACGGTGCAGGCAGTACGGTACCGTACTTGGGAAGCTGGTCAAGCATTCGGGAAGCTCAGGGGGTTGCTTATCTGTCTGCCCTCCATAGCATGAACCACAGGCAGCTTATTTCACTCTTTACCCATCCCTTGATGGCTTAGTTCGTGCTTCCAGTTCTTCTGTTAATAACAAAGATTTTATTCCGGGATAATTATTCACCTTCGGAGATTAGAGCAAATATGAGGTGCCCAGCAGAAGGTGCAACTGGAACCATTTTATGTCAGTAAAAAGCAAACATGAGCCTCTTCGTGTGGTAATTACTCAAGAGTTAACCCCTTTAAGTGAGTGGTACTCAATTACATGATTACAGATTTTTATGTCAATGGATATTGTGAAGGGTAAAAACACAATGCTACTACAGAAGTCGCTTTGGTTTTTGGACTCCTTACTAGCAATGTGACTTCTTTACCAATTCCATTAGCAGGTAGCTCTGAAACCTGTAAGAAATCAGGCTTTGGACAAATGCTCTTTGGTTTATTGTGGCATCATTAAGATAGGAAAGATGACCTGCAAGATAGCTATAGTGGACAGTCTTCTCTAAGTTAAATAAAAAAGTGCCAAGGGACTAAGAACATATTTTTTTTTCATTAAGAAAGCAAATACAACTCCAGAAAATTCCTCAAGTAACTAGAGGCTTAAAAAAACCAAAAACAAAAACTTAGTTTAGCTCTTGAAAGGCTTTTAAATTAACAGTAATAATAATAGTAATAATAATATTCTGAGATCACTGCTTTCTTGAAGGTGCACAAAACTGAAAAATACGCATTGTTATTTCTAAAGTATTGTATTTATGGTGAACTGTTTTCATTACCTAAATATTTAATATTTGCTAAATTTTATTTGTTATTTATTCATATTAATAAAACTAAAATTAGAAACATTTCTAAGTTGTTCAGAGTTTGTCATTATGCAAATCATCGAGTATGTAATTCCTTTAAATGATTTCTTGTGGAGGAACTTATTTTTATTTAAGCTGTTAATTATAGCTCTACCATGATCAAAAAACTAAATGTCTTAATATTAATTAATGTTGCAATTAGCTATATATTTATATATATTTATGCTTAATATTATAGTGTATAAATAATTTCATTTACTAGCAATAACTCTTAAATTGAACAATAATCTCTAAGTAGAACAGTATTCTATAATATTCTGCTATTCAATTCAGAGACAAAACTCCCAAGCAATTAATATTCCAATTGCTGCTAAAATGTAAATGCTACTCAATTATCATAGTTTAACACCAGTTTCAAAAAACAAAATATGTAATTAAGTATTATGGATTACCTGCAATTTCCCATGACTGCAAGATCTTACAGTGTTTTTCTAAGAATGAAGAAGCTCTTGAATAGTTCTAAAATGTATCTGCCTTAGCATGTTTGAGTTTATAATGGAAGTTGTGTCAAGGATTTTTTTGTTTCCCCCTTTATATATGACTTCGATTTTATTCTTGTTTAAAACAGATAGGAGCAAAACTAATTTAGAAGAGGCCATCCTAGGGTTGGCAAACATTTGGACTGTGATTGAGCCAAAACATGTAATTTACAAAGACAATTTTCCACTTCAACTATGCTTAAGTACTTTATTAAGAGAAATTCCCACTATTTTTTAGTACTCTAAAATCAAAATGATGCTTTTAAGGGATTTTTGAAGTTTGAACAATGCTAATTTTAAGTCTTTTAAATGAAAACAAATTTTCTGAAATTTAATAAATCATGTCATGCCAAGTTTCAAACTCAGATAGTATGGATTTAATTCCATATAAAGCACCCAGAATAGTGAATTTTAGGTGGTTCCAACTTAGTGACATTTATCTTTCCATTATTTAAAATGTTTCCCCAAAGATACTCTCTTTCTCCTGAAATAAAATATATCATTTTCTCACACAAACCTCTTGTTTTCTTTTATCAAGAAAGCAGGTATTAATGTAGTGATTCTTAGCATTATGCTACATTAAATTTTTCCTAAGTAATCTATAATTTTTAACAGATGTTTTTACTACATTGATGTGGACAAAGTATAACCCCCATTTTATAGGACATGCTTGCCCTAAGACAAAGATTTGTAAAGTTTACACAAAACTCTATATTACAGAGGTAACTTTTTCAGCATTTTAGGATGGGAATATACAAATAGTCTAAATGCGAAATTTAGAAAAATTTTATTGACATGAACACAGTGAAACTCTTATATAGTGGCATATGTATACCATGGATGTAGGCAAAAAGCCATAAAGTTTCTTCCAAAATGCAATTATTTATTTTTTAAAACCATAATATTTCACAAGTAACTGAAAATATGGGTAATCTTTCTGTCTTTATATTGTGCCCAGTACCAGTGGCATATATCACTGGTGTGTAGCTGAAATTGGCCGATCGTTTTCACTGAATTGATTAGTCGTTTCAACTGTGTATGGATACAGACTGAAAAGCCTTGATCTGGTAAAAGACTTCAGAGCGAGCTCGACTGGAGACTGTACCATGAAGATCTATAGCCCCATAATTAACTGCGTTAACTCAAACCCTCCAGTATACTGACACTTGCCCTAATTACCTAGGTAAGAACATAAGAGCCGCTATCTTGACTGAAAGTGCAAAGTTTTAATTTGAAGCACAAGTTATACCAAAGAGTCAGAGGAATGTTTTAGTGGGAAATGTAACGTCAAGGACTCCACGGACAACTGAAGACCATCCCTGAATATATTAATGATCAGAGCCATGCTTCTTGCATTAGCATATCTGTCCGATGACCTCTTTTTGTTACACACCACCATGTAGTATTGTGCTTGTTAATATTCCCTAAACAGCTTAGGCAAATTATCACTGATATATGTTTGGGGTAAATAAATATTTTCATTTTCTCCTCACAATGTGGCTGTGGGAGACAAAAAAGAATTTTGCTGCTGAGTTGATATAAAATGTCATTTGGGGAGAGCAAAAATCAGGCTATTAGTAAGATATGAAGAGTTTGTTCCATGGGAATTTTGTTCTCAAAGATGTAGTTTCCAAAGATAATACATCCCAGAATTGTAGAATTTTAAAATGGAAAGGGGCATTAACAGTTTTCTCATCCAGTGACTTCATTTGTCAGAATAAACTGAAGCACTGAAGGTCAAACGGATTATTGAAGGTCACATAATTTGTTGCCAAGACAAGCTTCTAGAACTTTGTTTTTTCTTGGCTAGAATTTTAAAAGAAAAGTTTTCCATTTCAATTGTGACATATACTGCCTCCATTTTCTTTTTAAAGCATGGAAATTGAACACAATGTTATGAATAAAAACTCTTAAGTTAATCCTTCTCCTTGTTTATTTTTAAGTAGAAAGAAAAATCGAATGTAGAACTATCACGATGGACTACTCAAAGGAATAGATACCACAGATTCGACACCCTAGTCTATTCTGGCCTGCCAAATTAATGGTTTCTTCAACTCTAACAGAAATATGTTGAAATTTTTTGTTTAAGAAAAGGAAAATTTGACAATATAAAAACCCATTTATTTGAGTGTAAGAGAGATTTTTCCCAAATAACAAGTAAGGTAAGTAAAGACATCTTGTTTCAGTAATTTATAATTCAGCTAGGCAAAAAGGATGAGGACTGTGTAACTGTTTTTCTCTTTAAATGAGAAGCTGGAGCACAAGAGATATGGAGTGGGGAAGATATGAAAAATCTAAAAACTCAAATGACAAGTTCCTTCCAGAGAGTGAGACACGGGAAACCACACAACCCCAGATTGTGCAATCTCTAAAGACAGTGATAAAGTGATTGCTTCATAGTTGAAGAGACAACAGACTTTTGAACTTACAAGGGAACCGCTGTGAGGGAGAAAGGAAAGAATGTATTCTAGCATAATATGCAGGTGCATTTAGACCTAAGGAATGGCTATCAAAATGAACTTTTGAGCAGTTCTCCACAGTAACTTTAACAAGCCTACATTGGAGCTCTCTGTGTTCTCGACAACCCTCTATTTCCAACTTAAACGCACGCAGCATCTGCCAGCCATGCTGCTTTCCTGATGTCCCAGCTGAGTGGCTCTGCCTCTGAGTTCAAAAAACCCCTTGCTTGACAGAGGTTAACCATATCCGGAAGGCTCTGGGAGAGGTCTGCTGGGCAGCAGGACTGCTGCTGTTGATAAGAGGCCTCTCGTTGGACTGGAGTCCAGGAGCTGTAGGAAACCCAGAAACAAGAAGTCTCAGATGGGAACAGCAGCAAAAGTATCAGCTCCCGATACTGCCCGAGAAACTACGGCAAGAGTTAGGAATCCCTCCCTCCTCTCTGCCAAGCCCACAGTTGTAAAAGAATTGACATCTCCCCCAGAAGCCCATTCCCAGGTAAATTTCATTTGCTATCTCATCCTCAAGTCAGAATGAGTCATTAGTTAATTAATTAATGCAATTATCCTGGCATAATTATAAACCACTCTGCTGCCATATAGAGATGGGTTTTACCTTTAATTACCAGGAGAAAATGGACAACTTGGAGTTTGAGCACCTAACTTGAAGAAAAAACTAGGAACTAATAGTCCCTCCCGCCATGCACACCACTCCCAACCCATTCGGCCTAAAAATCCTTCACATTGCGGGTTTTATTTTTCGTTTAAAAAATTATTTCTTTTAATTAGGTTTCAAAGCAAGATGTTGGCATTTCCTAATCTTTTCAGAGTGGTCTGGGAAATGCTACATCAATGCATCTGAGGGAAAAATTAGGAAAGCAAAATCTCTTTTAATTTTGGATTTGAATCAATACCCGAAATGACCAGAAGCAAAAATCCACCGGTGCGTCAGCAGGCAGGATGCTCGACCAGTCAGCTTCATCCTTCCCCCTGAGCTGTTCTCCTGCAGGCTCCACGCCGTAGCTGCAGGCCCCTAGAGCAGATAGATAATGTAGGACAGAATGACCAGGCCTATAATGGCAAAGAACATCAGGATGAAAATATCCAGCATTGTGGAGCCCTTGGCCACGGAGGCCTCTGGATTCCAGGAAAATATGAGTGGTGAGCACGGAGGTTGCAGTCAGTGGAGAGAAATGGCTCCCTCTTCCCTCCACTGCTCAGCCCTCCCCTTCCCCTCCCCCCTCCCAGGGCCTGAGACTCAGGGATGCTGCAGCTCCATCAGCAGCTTACTTCCCTCCTCCCACTCCCTCCACAGCTAGCCAATCACAAAGCCCTGGAGCCTGTAACCAAGGAACTGCTCGATTTAAACCAGGCAGAAGTGAAGAGGCTCAATTTCTCCCCAGGAACCCAATCCTATCCCTTTGTATCTAAATGGAGTCTGCATGTTATGGAAGTAGGAGGAGATCTGATCTGTATCCAGATGCCCTGGGAATGAATCCTCCTGAGCGCCTTTCTTCCTCCTCTTCCCTCTCACACATCCCTGGCAAATGAACTCGGAAACTGATGGTTGGGGGTTGGGTGGGTCATTGGTATGTGGTAAAGTCACATTGTGGAGGGACAGGGATGAAAGTCTCAAGTGAGTCTCAGATGCGTCTCTGGGGATGGAGCTAACACTTATGGGATTCCTATACTGTGTCACACATGGCACACATGGTGTCATTTCAACTTCTCCACTAGTCTTTTATAGATGAGGCTCAGAGATGGTCACGAACTTATCTAACGCTTCCTTGGAAAGAGCAGAGACCAAGAGTCAAAACTAGGCTTGCCCACCCTGGAGTCCACATTCTTCTCTTGCCCCAGACTGGCCCACCATGTTAGTCTGAAATGCGCCCCCCACCCAGCCCCACCTGCACTTCTCAGTTTGTGATGCATTTTGCTCAGATTGCTCCATTTACAGTGGGAACACCACAGGTCTCTCCTCCAATGATTCCTTATCTCTTTGTGGTCGTCTCCCACATCCTTGTCCTCTTTTGTATCCTCTTCGGAGCTCAGCGCAGTGTTACACCCAGAGAGGGCACTAAAAGAACTCTCAGTTACGCCCATCCCTGTGCGGTAAGTAGAAATGCAACCTTAAGTGGCTTCTTCTGAGGGGAAAGGAGAATTGGCGTTTTATAGTTTAAGCTGGGTGGCGGGTACTCACATCTTCTGTTGTTTTTATGCCTTTTGCTTATTTCCTATTACATTTAAAAAACAGCAACTCCCTGCAACACCTCTGAGACCTGGTATCCTTGGCTCCTGCCTGACTAGTTCCTTGGAAGGATGCGGGCTGCTTTCTCATGCTAAGCCTCAGGAACTTAGGCCACTTCTAGAAGGGGGGTCTAGAAACTCTTGGCATTGGCTGGTGCCGGGAGGCAGGGCACAGAGCTTGCTTGTGAGCAGGGAGTGGGGACTTGCTGGTTCCCTCCCAAGCAGACCGCCCCTGAAATCACTCTGGAGGAGAATGAAGCCTCCTGGGGAGAGGGGGCTGCAGCTCCGCAGACAAAGGAGACAGGCCTCCAGGAGGCAAGATTTGCCTCATCCCCTTCAATTGGATAAATATTAGGCAGCCTGTGCCTTCGCCTTCGGTGGGGGAGCAGGTGTCAGTACTGTTTAATTATCCCACCCAGCGCTGCCTCAGACACTCCTTAGCCTGCTCCAGCCCCACTGAGGCAGCCGTGTCATTCCCTGATTACAAAGGCTCAGTTTGGGGAAAGCCCTCTTCTTCTCCACTCTGCTGCCATCCTGAAGCCAGAATTAAGACCATCCTGCACCCCAAGCGGGCAATGCCCCTCCCTCCAAAGCCACGGCACCTGAGGCTGATTGCTGATCCCAAGTTGGGGCCGAAAAGGTCTGGATCCCTCTCTACCATTGTCCCCTTCCCAACCCCACAGAAAAGAGGAGGCTGCCTGGCCTTCTGGTCAGAGGTCAGACCCAGGGCACCTGCAGCAAAGAACAGAGTATGGGAGATACCAGTGGGAGGGGGGCAAAGGGCATGGGTGCACTGCTGCTGTGGCAAGGTCATGTGGGGCTGGGAGCATCACACCAGGCTGCTCAGACCCTGTCACTGGATATACAACTTCCACCAAACCACTGCCTTTCTGGGCTTCAGTGAACCCCATCTGTGTGATGGACAACACACAGATGCTACTCCTCTCCCAAGGCTGTTAATAAGGTCAAAGGGGAAAAAATGTGTTGAAGATCACATTCATACGGCATCGTTGAGTGCTGCTTTGGGTTGCCAGACCACCCTGTAGACGGCGTCATCCACGTCTTACCCCACTGTTGACTATCCCAGGCCCTGTCATTTTATTCCTCAAACATGCGCCAAGCTCTGCCTATGGGGAAGGCAGAGCCCAAACTGTCCTCCCAGCTGAGCTTTCATTAATTCAACAAATATTGGTTGAGCAGCTCTGTGCCTGGCCCTGGGCAGGCAGTGGGGTTGGAAAAATGAATTAGCTCCATTACCTGCCCCATGAGTGCACTGGCTACTGAGGGGGACAGGTACCCAGCAAAGTAGGACAATAAGAGGAGAATATGGGGGCTCAAGGAAGCTTCTGAGCGTGTCACCAAGCTGGGCAGAGGGATGTAGCCAGGAGTAAGTTGGTGAGTTCTCCAGAAGGAAGTAGGTGCCAAGGCCCCCATCAGAGAGCAGGTACGCCACCGTTCCCTTTCTCCCAGAATGATGGCTTCCAGAGTGGTCCTTCTCCCGCTGAAGGGCGGAGAGGCTCCCAGGAGAGTGATGGGCCAATGCCCCCAAGCAGACAGGCCACACACACACATACAGCAGTGCCTCAGAGCCAGAGAGATAACCAAGTCTGCAGGTAAAAATTATACTTTTATTTGAGTCACCAGGAGAAAGATTCACTTGTGGTCCAAGTCAAATGTTCAAAATCATAACAGGCCAGAAAGATTTGATCCCAAGCAAAGCCCATGAGGGAGGGGACCAAAACAGACCAAGAAAAGACGACCACCCCATAGAAAAACATGAACGGACGGCTTCACACACACGGATGAAATGTTCGGACAGAGGCAAATTTCACATGGTCATTTCTGTTTAAATACAGGTTTGTGGGGTGGTATTTTTTTCCAGCTATTAAAAAAAAAAGGCCCAAAAGTGCATATGTGAGGGGGAAAAGGCAGAAATTAAGCAATAAGTAGTTTTCCCTGGAGGGACATGAGGAAGAAAACCAGAAGCAATATTGAGAGAATTCACTTTTCTCACCATTGGGCTCCTTGTACTTTATTATTGGTCCACTAAAGTTATATTCACATTCTAGCTTTGATGCATCTTCTTTCCTGGGATTAGACTGGCTAAAAACCCTCTGTGAACTGCAAGAAAAGACTGAGACTTGGCTCAGTCCTTGAGATTCTGTGCTCTTCTAGGGATGGATGGTTCTGGAAAGGAATAAGGACTCCCAGCAGCTCCTGGGTCCCTCAGCACCAGTGTGACAGTCCCTCCTCTCTCTGGGGGTGTGTAAGAAAAGGTCCCCTATTTTTAGGGTGGGAGGAGCAGAGGGCTGGCAGCAAGATTCCAGTGGCTGTTTTGCCTTGTTTTGGAAGGAAAATTAAGCTGAGTGAAAACAGGCTGCCTGCTTGCTCCTCTGGGCGCTGCCCGCTCACCAACCTCCCAACCGCAGGTTCTCCAACAGGATGTGTCTCTGACCTTTGGTCCCAGAATCCACATTGTGCTTTGAAGTCAAGAGGAAACAGAATGGACCAGTCTCTGCCCTAAGGCTCCCCAAATTGTTCCCTCTTTGCCTCCCTCATCCCCCTAATTGCTCAATATAAGACACTCCACCTGCCCTCACCTCGGCTGCAGCCAAGGAGGAAAAAGGATTGGTCAGGCAGGGGGTTTAACCCTCTGATTTGGGGTAAATATTCCCAAGTCAACTCACAAGCAGTGAGGACTTGATTATTTAATATGCCCACGGGCCCCTCCCTCTCCTACAGGACACAAGGATGCAAAGATGTCAACTGTGGGGCCCGAGTGGACCCAGGGTGAAGATGGGAGGGGGACAAGCAAGCCCAGAGATGACTAAAGCCAGGCAAGGTCATCACACCCACCAACGAGCGAGAAAGGGACTAGGAGATAGCACCATCTTTCCCTCTCTCATCCTGGCTCTGTGCTTCCAGTTTTGTAGCCCTGGGACCCTCTCCCTCTGCTTCAGCAAGGCTTTAGGTAAATGAGGGGGAGGCCTAGGGGCAGAGAACACAGTGTAAGGGACACAGGGTCCTCTGGTCCCCTACTCTGCAGCCCAGGACACAGAGATGGGGGAAGAGAATATGTCTGGAGCCACAAACTTTTGCCCCCATCCCCTCCCCAGCAAGCTACAGGCCCCAACATCAGCCCCCAAATACGCAA